AGAATAGAATAGAATAGAATAGAATAGAATAGAATAGAATAGAATAGAATAGAACCCACAATTTCTGAAGGCAAGCTGTTCTACTGGTTAATTGTCCTATTAGGAAGTTTTTCCTTAATTCCAAGTTGCTTCTCCCTTTGATTAGTTTCCAACCATTATTTCTTGTCCTGCCTCCAATGCTTTGGAGAACAATTTGACCCCCTCTTCTTTGTGGCAGCCTCTCAAATACTGCTATCATGTCACCCCTAATTCTTCTTTTCTTTAGACTAGCAAGACCCAAAACCTGCAACCATTCTTCATATGGTTCATATGTATCAATGAATCCAACAACAACTCTGGAAAATTCATGGGGTGGGGGAAAAGCTTTCTATAATGAATATTTGGCTATCACCTTTAAAATTAGTAACCTTGATATCAAACTTAACAAAAAAAATCTTATTTTCAATAATCTTTATGCCTTGTTGAAGTTCAAATCTCATATAAGTGGAAATTTGTGCAGGTAGACAAACTGACACATGTTTCCTTAGTTGCTGATGTGTCTCCTATAGCTGCATGTCTTCATATTCCCCCAAGAAATATAAGGCCATCAATCTTTTATAATTCCCTGGTGATTTAGTTGAATATCATAAATTCTTTCACAGATAAATGTCTTTTAAAGATAATCATCTCTCTAGCTCATTATCTCCTGTGTTTTCTGCTTGAAAAGTAGGAACACAGAATTGTTAAGTGCTCCATAATTGCGTTTAATTTATTGAATTCTTCTTTTGGAAGGAATCCTGAGATAGTATGCAGGATTGCTCTATGCAATATTTTGGTAAATATATAAACTAAAAATCTGAGCTAGATCCCTATACATGTATTTTAATTTCTCAACTGATATTAAAATGAAGATCCCGTTCACACCTAATAATTAATTAGAATTCTTTTGCAATTCTAGTCTTTTGGTTTAGTGTGATTGAGCAAACAAATTAGTACAATCTATTTAATTGCTCCCGCTGGACTCTTTTTTGCTAGCAAAGGTGGCTCAGCAAACCATTTGTTTGATATTATATACGTGAAGCCCTGAAATATGTACACGTTGTTAGGACAAATTAATCATCAGTGAGATTTCCCGGTTTGCTTAGCTGCTAACATTGGAAGTAGAAGCTGAGTGGAAGAAATGAAGCAGCATGTAGGACGTCCTTGACTTGCAACAGTTTATTTAGTGACCGTTCAAGGTTACTGCGGCACTGAAAAAAGTGACTTATGACCATTTTTCACACTTATGACCGTTGCAGCATCCCCATGGTCTTGTGATCAAAATTCAGATGTTTGGCAACTGGTTCATACTTATGACCATTGCTGTATCCCAAGGTCATGTGATCACCTTTTGTGACCTTCTGACAAGCAAAGGCAATGGGGAAGTCAGATTCACTTAACAGCCATGTCACTAACTTAATAACTGCAGTGATTTACTTTAAAAGCTGTGGCAAGAAAGGTCATAAAATGGGCCAAAATTCCCTTAGCAAATGTCTCACGTAGCAACAGAAAATTTGGGCTGAATTGTGGTAGTAAGTCGAGGACCAGCTGTACTTGTTTTTATGGTCTTGCTACAGCATCCTACTAATGGCAACTATCTGTAAGTATACTCTAAAATCACACGTTGATATAAATATCACCTTAAACACTCAAATCCTTAGAAGAAAATTTACAAGATTTACGAAGGAGGTAGTAATCATAAATGTCAGACATGTACTTTCATACTACGGATGAATTAATTAAGGTGCACAATTCCATCAGGGATACTGCACCATAGTAATAAATGTATGTGGGGGGCATGTCAGTAATGCCCTCAATTATTATCCTGAAGAACACTCTGCAATGCACATCCTATTTACTACTATTGAAGCAGCTTTTCGTACAGTATTCACATCACATAGAAAAACCCTTTGATTCATAGATCTTTTGTTCGAAAATAAGCTTCAGAAAGTAAAAAAGGCTCCCAATGGTAATTTTCTTTGACATACATACATGCGTGTAGTATTAATGAAAATTGTTGATTATAATAGTAAAATCTAATACAAACTAAACCTAAAGAAAGAACAGAAAATGGAATGAGTAAAAAACATGCAAAGAAAGTGAGAAAAGAAAATGTAATAAAGAAAAAGAAATATATAAAGAAGTGACTTCCAACCTTAATCACAAGTATAAATTAATTTAGTAACTCCTCCGCTTTTTCTAAAGTTACAAACTTTTATTTCTCCATTCCATATCCCATCTCTTATCTATAAATAAATCCATAAAACATCATCTTTTCACTTTTGGTGTAAGCAAAATGTCCATAAAGAATAGCCAGGAATAACAACATATCTTGTTTTAACCGTGATCAAATAAGCCAATTTTGTGTTCCTTCCTTTTACTTCTAATAATCTTAAATTTTTAGTGTATTCAAATATTGGTATAGGATTTGATTTCTCTTCATTTCTTCTTTGTCCCATTCCATATAATTTTTCAAGGCTTTAACAAGCTTCTTGTATAAATCCAATAGGAAAAAATTACCCTGGTGACTTTCTTAGTTTGCCATTTTTATTTCCATTTTAAAAATTCAGCCAATTTCATTTGCAGATTCAGTGAAACAGCCTTTTTAAAAGTCATTATCTTGGCCTGTCAATTTTAAATCAATTTCCAATACCATCTCTATCTTGTCTTACCATTACTGGTATTGTTGATGTTGTGGCTACTATTTTTAAATTCCAGTCTTCAAA